AATTTTTTTTTTTTTTTTCGGTAGTAGTTCAATTTAAATCTTCAATTATATTTTTTATATTGTTCGAAATAAATCTTCAAATTTCATGTTTCATCAAAGGTGCATGATTATTATAGATTAATACAATTGAAAAAAAAAAATGAATGAAATAAAAGATTCTATATGCTCGAGACTATTTGAATAGATATGTCCATAATTCATTTATTTACAACTTAAAAACATTTTACAATATTTTTTTTAAGACAAAATTACAAGGCCACCTAAAACAATTAACATTATTTGTAACACCAAATAATAATATCCCGTGTGGCCGTACCATATTATTATTATTAATAAATTATTTTCACTAGAATTGGATTTTGTGAGACCAGTCAAAATGGAGATTGCCTGTAAATATGGAGACTAGATTGACCATACATGTCCCATGTCACATCAATGTGAAGCTAATCAGTTAACTGGCCAACTTGTTCATTTCTTTGATATATATATATATATGGACAGTACAACTTCACACGTACAATACACAAATGCATAATTAAATATATTAATTATATTTATGATTAGTAATTTTATAATTCCTTTCTAAATTTTCAAACTTATAGACTATAGTTATTAATTTATGATATTTTGTAATTCTATATGTAAGTTTATGTGTTTGATAATCATGTATCAATTTTTTTTTTTTTTTTTTTGGGATCTATTAAATATAATATCACTTGTGAGTTGTCTCGTTTATACAGGAAACATAGACCTAACTTATAAGCCTAATGGATTATTTTTCACCAATTGATTTTGGGATGAAACCTCACTAAGGTGTATCTAAAATTATCTTGTTATGGTGTGCTTCACGTGCATGAGACTACCCCGTTTTTTTATAGCATCAACCCATATCGATCTGAACTTTTATTTTGCTTATTAAAATTATTAAAATTATAAAATATTTAACTACTTAAATTGTAAATTTATTTTAAATGATATATACAACTTTATTTGATTTCAGATTTTTGTATAATATATCAAATTAGTCTTCTCTTAACAATTTAATGCATATCAATATTGCATGGATAAATAAATAAATAAACAAATACACCTTATAATAAAAATGAATTATTTATCGGTATTGATTAAAAAATAACAAAATTACTATCTATTAAATAAATTTATTTATCAATTCACTTTATAATATGAATAAGAAAATGTAACTATAATAAAGGGGCAAATCGTGATGACTATCATTTTAAATATAAAAAATATTTTTTGTAAAAAAAAAATATTTAGACTTAATACAAAAACTTCTTTATATATATATATATATATATATATATATATATATATTCAAAAATTTAAATATATATTGTTATTAACTCCTACTTAGTTAATTCGACATCTTAGGCTCGATGTAATTGACCCTGGTAAACTTCTTTATATATATATATTAAAAAATTTAAATATATATTGTTATTAACTCCTACTTAGTTAATTCATTAATTAACCTTGAATTGTCAAAGGTTTTGGCCACCTCCATGACTCAAAATCCAGCTTGCTTCCAGTTAATAATAACCCAACTTGAGCCCACCCTGGGGCTAATATGTGATTTGACTAATTTTGGGTGCTAGAAAGTAGAATATCACAAAGACTTTGCACAGGGGAGAACTAAAATAAGACGAAATACTACGGTCCCGTTACGGAATCATTCAGTCGAGATTTGTAACCGTTAGATCATCAAGTAACAGTTGAAGAGTTGATTTAACAGTTACGAATCGACGGAATAATTTTATAACGGGACCGTAGCATTTTCTTAAAATAAGAATAAAAATGTGGGGTCGTTAGGTGCATTTTTTTTTTTATAAAAAAAAAAAAAGCAAATTCCCTGGAAGTGCGCAAAATGTAGACGTTCCGATCCAAAGCTAAAAAAAAAAATGACGCAAAATCCCATGCATCGGTTTACATAAACTAATGAAATTTGAAAAACGGCCCTTTTATTTTTATTTTTTTCAGAGCCAAATGGATGATTCATACGCCACCACCATTTTAAAATTTTCATTTTTTTTTTTCTCCGAAATAATTTTTTTTTTTTTTTTTTTTTTTTTTTTT